TACATGCATAACATCTATCTTGCAATGTAAGTTATTTCATTGAAAAGATACATTTTGATGCTTGACAGTCAAATAAGCACGTTGGTTCTTCCACAGTTGGTTCCCGATTATCGAAGAAAGTTGAACGATTGTGTTCTTCGGGAAGATATCCAACCATACGCTATATTCCGATGTCTAAAAATTAATCAGAAAAATAGTATCGCCATGTTTGAGACAGTACCAGAACAGTAAAAACTACTTTCAAGCGAGTTAGATTGTTTACTTCTGCTATTGACTCACAGATGGCGGTAGGATCTCGAATCCCTTTCTGGCCTTGCCAATAATTAGGTACCTTGAGGCTTTGACTAGCGAATTGAATCTGGGTCACGTTATGTGGACAGTCAACCTACTTGACGTCATTTTTTAGAACTTACCTGACATTTCTAATTGATCTTTACACCGATGGGCGTGTGTTTATCCTCGCATCTAAGCAAACCTGATCTGCCCATCCCAGTTGGCTGTGGCTGCAAGGTGTGCCCGTGTTAATTAAAAATTAACCCAAGTCCATATCGAAGAGGGCCGTGACTGACCGGAAGTAATTTGCTGCCCTTCCGCCTCCTCACCCTCCCTTGCTCCCGTCCTCTCCCCGCCCGCAAAATCATAGTAGGCGCAATCTTGCCGCAACCTACTAATAATTAATTAGCTTAATTGGTGATTATTGATCAAATCTAGTCGCCTGGTAATTATTTATGCTTGCATTAACAGCTATTATCTAGATCGGAATCTTTATGGTAAACGGCAACTGAATATGGAATTTGATCAATAATTATCGACTATAGGGAGCTAAAGTGCCTACATCCATCTCGACTTTCTTGATTGCCAGAAAGTCAACCATTAGAAAAAATTATTCACTAGCATAATATACAAATAACCGTTCTACTGTTTTGACATTGCTTGTCTCTCTGATATCAAATACTACCTTTATCGCAGAAGAAACAATAAACCACCTCATCTTTACCTTGTGCTCTAATTTATTATTACTTTACTTACCTAGGCTGCTGTTGTGGTCTTCCTTTCAGATATATGTATAGATTTTTACACTATCTACTAATATCTATATAAGCGTCATTGCAAATTGAAACTGAAATTAATGGATATACAAAAAAAAAATGTGAAAAAATAGAATGTCTTGATGATGATGATCTTGGTTCTGATTTCCTTATTGAGATCTTGGGATCAGCCATACGCCGATATATTCAGGCTGATACAGATTAGGTGCAAAGTTTTACGGCTTAAAACCATTGAACCTAAGGAAAGCACAATATACAGAATCCATGTGAATAAACAGACCATTCAAATTAAGTCGTATCCGTCATGTATTCTGCAATATTCAAATCGTTTTGCAAAGAAGACAATTTCGAAATAAAAGCGCTTCAAAATAGCCGCGTTATATTTCCATAAACTTTAAAAAAAAAAATTATTATATTTCGCTGAGCCCACTAATATTTAATCTGATAAAGAATGAAGTCATAAAGAAAGTTAAAAAAAGAAGAGGATATAGAATGGGAAAAAGGAAATGCAGATAATATGCTACGCCGACGACGCTATAATAGCAGCCGAAAATGAAGATGACCTACAATTAAAGAATTCGAAGATACGACGCTCATATACAACATGGTGATTTCAACAGAGAAAACTAAATCGATAGTTATATCAGCGGAACCGAGACGATGTAAACTGGTCGTAAATAACAAAATAATAAGTGATGGAAACGGAATACTTGGGAATCAAACTGTCAAGCTTCAAAGTTCAAAAACAAGTGAACATGGCGAACAGAGCAGCAGGATGTCTCAACAATACAATATGGAGAAACAAATACCTCACAACGGAAACGAAAACTAGGATATATAAATCAACAAATATTTTAAAACATACCAACCAGTTATCAAGATGACATATCTATGACTTATCTAAGTATTTTTTGTTATCTATCTCCTAATGTAGAAAAAGGAAGTATTGAAGTCAAAAATGGTGATTTTCTGGTTAGTGGAAAAATCTAACTAAACAAAGCACCCGGTACATCGTATTCTGACCGAAAACTTTTCAGTGACAAGCAATAAGGGACGTTCAACCCCCTATACCACATCGCCACCCCAACTCGCCGAGACGTCGAACAATACCGGCCGTAAGAGAGAAGGACAGATGTTCGATGAAAAACCGTTACGGAAGTAGACCTTTCGGTATATGGTATACGCACCCTTGATCAGCCAGCTCTCGTAAAAAACACCGGATTGTAATATAAGTAGTTTTTTTACTATCTCTTTTTTGTGGCATTCTTTTAAGTCGGCGATGAGTGACACTGAAGTCACACTAAGTTACTTTGATGTTTTTAATTGTTGCCTATATGCATTTTTTGTCGCCAAAATTGCGTACGTTACCTGCAGACTTTTGACCGAATCGTCACCAATGCCGGCCAAAGTGACAGTCTTGTATGGACATAATAATAATACGAGGCTTGTTCAATTGAAACCCATCTTTGGTCCAGAAAAAAATGTATCGTACTTACCGGTGGAAACATCTACCTTCTAGGCTTGTGTCGTACTTTGCAAACTATGTAAGAAGTACAAACACTCGCCTTTTTAAATAACTCTGTAACTAACTGCTGACTATGAAAATTAGGAGAAAAACAAATCCTTGACCTAGTCTAAATCCGTTATGCATCATATTCTACTTGACGCAAAATTTAGATGCTTTGCGTCCTAAAAGATTAGTAGACAAACGTGAAGATAGAAGCAAATCAAAATTCCCATATATTTCTGAAACTAGAGTTTTTGATTTTAGGTATTTTGTTGACTAAGCAGAAACACAGCTAACTACAAAGCGTAATCATTTTCTTCGTATGTGACCTGTAAAAAGTTCAAACCCGCATCCACGGTTTAAGATCACGTAGGAAAAACCACCTGCGTAGATAATGTGCTTGAATGTTAAGGAGTCCTTACTGATTTCTCCATTTATGTCGTAACGAGGTACATGCTGGCACCCGGGTATTACTTTTCTGTTCTAATAAGGAACAGCGTTGGTATAAAAATATTCTGGATTTTTTCAAATGCTGCCACAATCATTTTATTAAGTTATTTAATGGTTATGGCGAAGCGTACATGTAAGAATAGTCCAACTTGCAATCTTATTTCTATATCAAATAATATACTAAGTGACATAAATCCGAACACCCAGTTTAAATGGTTTTATTTTAATAAAATTTTGTATAAGTACTTAATGAAGCATAATAAGTAAATGATAAAAATTTCAAAATGATTGCTGCTTTAAAGCCCTTTGACCTTTAATAATGTGTGGATGCACCCTGATGTGCTACGCATTCTCCAACGCGCCTAGGCATGCTTCTGATCAGGTGGTCAATGTCCTCCTGTGGTATCTCATTCCAGGCAACCACCAACTCGTCTCGAAGTGCTTCTAGAGTCTGAGGAGGACGTTGCAAATTGAGCAATCTCCTACCCATCATATCCCATACGTGCTCAATTGGGGATAAGTCGGGAGATCTTGGTGGCCATGGTAACAATGTGACATCATTATGTTGAAAGAAGTCTATTGTGACTCTTGCGACATGTGGTCGGGCATTATCTTGTTGGAAAGCTGGATCTGCCAGGGTGTCAAGATAGGGTAAAAGATGGGGTTCTAGAACTTCGTGGATATAACGCTGCGCGTTCATGTTACCTCTGATGAAGATTAAAGGTGACCTGGAACCATAAGCTATAGCACCCCAAACCATAACTCCAACAGTGTGATGAACATGTCTTTCAACAAAAAACTGTGGATTCCTCCTTTCACCACGTCGCCTTCTAACCCTGGCACGACCATCGTGCATGCCTAAACAAAATCGAGACTCGTCACTAAAGACAATACTGTTCCATTCCTGATCCCAGAGTGACCGTTGTCTGCACCACTCAAGGCGATTACGTCGGTGTTCTCGAGTTAAAGGGAAGACCCAGTGTGGCCGGTATAAAAACAAGCCAAAACTTCTCATTCGTCGGTAAACACTTCGCATGCCAATAGGTATTCTGTGTTCTGCAAACCATTCATTTGCAATGGACCTGGTAGTGGAGAAACGGTCCCTTAAGGCCAATAATCTTAGGCGGCGATCTTCACGGTCTGTTGTTCTACGGCGGCGTCCAGTGCCCCTTGCTCTTTGCGTACGGCCTTCTCAAAGCCATGCCTGACAACACCTAACCACAGTGTCTACACTTCTTTGCACTCTAACTGCAATTGCCCGAAAAGAAAGTCCAGCTTCCCGAAGTCTCACTATACGGCCCCTACCAAACTCACTAAGTTGACGAAATCGTACAGGTCTCCGTACTCTAGGCATCGTAACCGATCGTAAAGGATGTCAAGAACCAAAATCCGCCCACGTTGATTCTTTACTGCGGCTGAAATATTCATTTTTAGAGCGTTAGTGAATTAAAAAAAAGCAATATAAAAACCGGAATGTCCAACTGATAAGGCTGAAAATTTTTTCACTTGTTATTTACAGTAAGATAAATACATTCACCAACTTTTATTAAAATAAAACCATTTAAACTGGGTGTTCGGATTTATATGTCACTTAGTATATATGGAGAAGGGTACCTTATACTTTAGAAATCACAATATCTGTTAAATGGTGACTGCTAGAATAAAAGTACTCCGACAATTTTCAAAGAGAATTTCATGCTTTACAAGTTTTGTATGAGGTACTTTTACAATAACTCTTGTCGTTTGAGAGAAATATGCGAAACAGTGACATTTACCAAAAAAACAAAGTTCCTCTCCTATATTTAAGGTCTGTAACAAATTTCTGTTGTGCGGCAATTTTTGCGAACCTCAATGTTGCACCAAATTTGCGTTTGTAATTTGCGTGTATGAGTGTACGAACCGCTAAGGATTTGGTTCGATCGATCTGGATCTGACACATGGATAAAGTGGCGTTTTCATTTAGATTGACAATTAATCGTGATTTTTTGTTCCAGCGAGTTCTACTACATCCAGATGGAAAAGTACGCCCGGCAAGCTGTGTCCGAGGGTGTTAAGAATGCAGACGATCTCCACGTTGGAGGCGACTCAGAACTATACAGGGTGCTCAACTTGCACTACAACAGAAACAATCACATCGAGGTATGCGGCCCTCAGGTTCGTGGAAACCGAGACATCCCGACACAAGTTCATGTTTTCAGTTTTTTTTAATCATCTGCATTCCATTTTCAAGTCGACCCTCATTATAATCAAGTAGCAAAACGGAAGAGAATCGCGTACGCCACTGGTTACGCGGTGCGTCTTTGAGTACAAGCACATCATCTTCTTGCAAGCTTGTACTTATCACTATCATTATAATTCAGTGCCAGAATTGGTAGCGCAGAAGCTACACGCAAGAAAATTCCAAAGTGCAGTTTTCAGCCTTCAGCGGGTTGCGTGCACCGCCGTTTACAGCATCAAGCGGCGTTAAATTCATCCGTACTGATTCGGACTTTTCAGTTTTTTTCTAACAATCTTCGATACTCCTTAACGGTTATACATAGCAGACCAGATTAGAGAAACTCATAGCAAGGCAGCATCATATCATTAACTTGTATGGATGACTGTATATAATTTCTGATAGACAGAAACTGCTTGTTGGAAATAAGGGAATAGCTTAGTAAAAGGATCGACTCTTTAGCGCAGGTAGAAAAGTAATACATTTGGCAAGAATATATAATGCTGTTTGTACTCACTATTTAATTTTATCGTCATTCGGCCTGAATTGTGTCAATGTTAAATATGAACGTTTTCAAAAGAACTTTTAATAGTCCGATAGCTTATTTGGGCATAGTCGCATGCGAAATTACTACGCGTTTTTGATGACGCCATGAATTTGTTTTGTAGCCATACAAATTTGTGAAACGACGGAAACTCTCAAGAACAGAAAAAAGTGAAACCAAGAAGGTTGCCTCAGTGCTCTCTACATTATTTTCTATCTCTTCCCATAAATTACTGTTAAGGAATTTTGCAAACACTCAAACTACAACTTATTATTTTGGACTTACTTCATGAAGTTGAAGAGACAAACCACTGATGACTTGTTGGGCAAAGCCTGTGGCTGAGAAGAAGCAATGAAACTGGAATGAACAGTGGAACTGCAAGATCGGGATTAATATTCCATGGAATGTGTCAAACTTGAAAATGGGAAAAAATTATTTTAAATGTCTCACTTTATTTTACGTTATTTATGCTTTTATTTGGCTTTGTTTAGTGATGATCTCGATTTTTACGCATTTACGTATGTTTTTATTTTGTTAACGCTTTTTTGGTTTACTTTATATTGTGTTACACATAATACACATATGAGCCTTTTGCAAAAAAAAAGAATTTAAATTATTTCTGCTTAGAGAACCTAACAAATTCTAGTAACTCCTACAAAGGGGCTCGCGAGTTCGAGCTCCAATTCCGAAGTCAGCTCCACACCATGGATGCTGTGCTTATGTGCATATCGATGCAAAATCATCATCATTACTGGATCTGGTTTATCCAATAATCAGTTACCAGCAGATGGCAACAACATTACAAAACAAAGGGTTTGACTAGCCTTAACGTCACTGTGACCCAAATGGATCTATTGTGGTCTCCATTTACACTTTTTAAAGCACTGGGTCCAACCTTGATCCTTTAGTCAGACTCCATACTCATGACACAGGGCCTTGCGTTCCGCTGTTGGATTTGTGGTTCCCACTACCTGAAACCACAGCCTTTCCAGGCCTTCGCACTGACACAGGAGACGCACTGGGGTTTCCTCATGCTCTCTGCAGAAACGGCATGTGGTCTCTTCTACCATACCAAAGAGACGACAGTTAGGAGACCCACTATGGCTTTCATGGTCTCCTGGTAAGTCCGAGCTCTGTAAAAGCGACTCTTCTTTGATGAACTGCTTTGCCTGCCTTTACCCTAATTGGCTGTTCCACCATTCTAGGGACTTTAACTTGGTCCAATTTCTCATGAAAGGTTCCGGTCACGCCACCGAAGGGCTCTGGACCTATAAGGCGATTGAGCGCACCTTGTCAGCCTTTTCATTTGCTTGGTGCCTTTCATATCCTGGTACCCAGAGCTGTTACCTTGTTTTGGTTTCCAAGCTCTTTGAGAGTGTCCACTCAATCCCATACTAGCTTAGACGATGTTTACGATAAACTGGCTGCCTTTTTGGCTGTCTAGCAGATGGTGATCGACTGATTTGCACTCTCATTCCTCTGGTACTACCGGGTCGGCAGAAAGGATCAACTATGGCCCAGGTGCCAGAGCTTGGTCTCCCTACATTGCTACTACTCCTAACACCCACTCTTAGATAAGACACTAAACTGGAATTCGCATCTGGAAGCAGTCCTTAAGAAGGCAAGGATCTCGCTGTGGAAAGAACTGGAGAATGAAGCCTAAACAAATGTTTTGGCTTTACACCATGGTTATTAAGACCTATGGATCTATAGCTTGGTGGGGCAAGGCAGCACAAAGAGCTGTCCAAGCCAAATTGAGCGCAATACAGAGGGAAGCACCAACTGCAGCTATGGAGGTCCTTGTTAATTTACCTCCCTTGCACATATGCCTCGAAGGCGAGACAAGAAGGACATCTTATGTGGCAAATGGATGAGATCGACATGCTGGAGGACTTACAAAACCACCACAGTCTGGGATTGCCTTCTGATATAATGCCAAAGATAACAAGATACGCCAAACCCTACTCAGTGACAATTCCACACAGGAATGAGTGGGACCAGCAAGTTAACCTGATAAGGAAAGATATCTGTGCATACGTACAAGACCGAGGTAGGTGGTGGATACTTGGAGACGTAGTACTCCATTCAGAAGACCTGAAGGATATTTCTCAAAACAAGCTGATCGACTTACTCAGGAGGAGGTCGGAGCTACTGGGAGAAATATAAATAGATGTGATCCACCGCAGTGGAGGATCGTTATTGATGCACCCACAAGAAACCTAACCTAACACCCACAAACAGATCTAAATCACTATAGGCTAAGAATCACTAGTAGACATACTCATTACTCTTTATTTTTGTTGCAGGTTCCTTCAAACTTCCGGTTTGTCGTAGAGCAGACCCTCCGCGAGTTCTTCAAGGCGATACAGGAAGGCAGAGACGCCGAACAGTCATGGAAAAAGTCCATTTACAAGATCATCTCGAGGCTGGACGACCCAGTTCCCGAGTACTTCAAGTCCCCGAATTTCCTGGAACAGCTCGAGTGACCTGTGGATAGGCCCAAGCAGCCCCCGTCTCAGGGCAAGCTGCCAGTCCCCCAGGAGCTCCCCAGGTGCCCCCAGGAGCCTCCAATGGCCCCCCTTCGACCCCAATGGGGTCCCAGGTGGATGGGCGCGACGTGTTAGCCCCATCGCAGAGACGATTATTGTTGTGTTATAGATTGACAGACTTTTGAACAAAGCATTCATGCCTCAGGCTATGAGGTCTGCAGGGCGCCGGACGTATACCAGGGGATGATCACCAATATGCTTAGGATGTTAAGGACGCTTTAGAATGTTCAGGAAGCTTTAGGTTCAAACTGTATTACTGGCTCCTTACAAAATATTGAATCAACATTGCATTCTAAAGTATACCGTTTCACATTTTCATATAAAATGAAATGTGGCGGGACACCTTGGCCCTTCAAAGTTTCTTGGTGATAAACTTTACCGAGGTGACAGATTTGTCAGTCAAACCGTCTCCTTGTATACGATAAGGCTACCGCAACCTCGATATATTTAAGAATCAATCAATTTATAAGAAAAAACAGTGATCTACCTGAAATAGACCGCCGTCAAGTCCTCATTTTTTCTGACCAGCAGTTAGCAAGTTCAAAATCTGCACTTTTATTTTAAATACCGGGTGTTTCAAGTTCGTCTCTCACCCTTGGAATCTTATAAATTGTAGGAGTTACAAACTCGTACCATTTTCGACGTTCCGACGGTGACAGCCCGATTTGAAGAACGTTCACATTCCGATTTTCCCCACGCTGGAAAACTGCGCTGTGTAAAGTAAAACTGATTTTGTATATATCGTATGTATATAAACGTAACTTATACATTCCTAACCAAAGTTATCTATTTTTTATTGCTCTCCTAGTCGTTTTTGGGTGAACATACGTGTTTTCACCCGATTTTTTTTGACATTTTACTTTGAGGGATCCCTGTAAAATTTTTATATTAGCACCTCATAGTACAATGTTGGATTCCTCTAGCTGCTCTGTCTTCCCTATCAAATAGAGGAGAAGTGGAGCTATAAAGTTTTGTATTGAGTAGATATGCCCCCAATTCCAGTGCTAGGTCAAAAAACGAACCAAGAATTTAAATATCAACTATTCGCAATTTTAAATACTTATTTTTAGATGGTACTAGCGTAAATATAAAAAAAAAATTATTTCGTGATATTTTGAGTCACTATATTGATTGCCTGAACGTTCTTTTTGACTATACGACAAAAAATAGGGACGATAGGTGAAAGGCAGATCTACAACATACCAAAAAATGACTATAGTAAAAGTTTCACTGTTTTTGAGATATTAATTTTTTTAATCTTTTGTCGCTGTGTCTAGAAGTAACAGGATATCTGTTTGTTTTTTTTTAAATATTCTCAGATAGTTGGTCTGCCATTTGAAATATCATGTTCGATAAATACAAGTAGGTAAACTTGACAAACAAATTTCTTCTTCGTAATTTTTATTTTAGAAAACTGAACTTTGGTATCTAGCAATGAAATAAAAATGCACTAGACTGTAAACTACTGCGATAAATCACCTGCTTAATCAGCATCAAAATATAGATCAAACGATGAAATTTTTCGAAAAAGACAAAACATTAATATATTAAAAACCGTGAAACTTTTACCAGGGTGATTTTTTGGTATATTGTAGATCTTCCCCATTTTTTTGTCGTACTATTTACCGCACACCCTATCCAAGTTTCTGCTAAATAAAATTTTATTGTTGCGAGTCCCTTCTTCGATCTAAATGTGTTTGTTTTTTGATCTAGCAATCATTACATTTTTTTGTTTTAATGTTTTCCTTCTGTAGGCTAGTTGCTGTTTCCATTTTCGGTTTTGTTTTTGAACGCATATCTGCTGAATATTATTTTTTATTTTTTACGTAGGATGGCTCAAAAATGAAAAGAAAAATCACAAAATCTCTGTTATCCCAAGAGAAACTCCTACAATTTGGGCGACAAAAATTTTGACGACTTCAAGTTTTGTGTAGAATTAAATTCATCATTTTGCTTCTATAAAAATTTGTTCACTCTTAAATTTCTTGTAACCTGTTGGGTAAACGACAAATTTTCATTGAATCAAAATGATAAAGAATTAAATTCCCCATAAAATTGTTACTTTTTCAAATAGGATTGACGGCTTTCGAGATTTTCGATCAAACGATTTTTTGAAAATGGTGGAAAATAATTGTAACTAGCTATCAATAATATTTTCTAATCTGACGAGTTTAAAAAATGCGATCGGGTAACATGTTGTATATCGGATTAATCGGAAGACTTTGGTCTTTCGTTTTGCGAAAAAAAAATCGTAGCTATGTCGTTTCATAACGAAGGTCTCTATCGAAGAAGACAAAGTACGCCGAAAAATGGCTGTCATCGGTACCTTTGAGACGCTAAAATTTTACTTTTTCGAAATTTGACGGGAATTCTAACAGTCAGGATCGTTTCCTGAGCTCAATATCTTTATTTTGCTTACGTATAGTAGTAACAGGCCAATACAAAGCTGGAAACATGGTCATGCACCGGAAAGTAGCGCGTAGTCGAGGAATTTAAAAAAAAAGAAACTTTTGAACGAAAAGGGATAAAGAAATAAAAAAGACGCTATCTTAGTGTCCGATGTCCGGGCTTCATCACGCAAAAATCGTCAGGTTCGTAGCTGCTTTATCTTCGGAGAAGATAGAATGTGAACGTCGAACAGCACGAAAATCTATCGTTTTTTCGACTTTGACCGCCGTTTTCGATTGCATTTCTTTCTCCTACCTCTACGGTCCTCGCTCGCCCGTTAAGCGCCGAGTTTCTAGTTTCCGAAACAGTATCGCTTTCTGAGAAAACGTTTCGCAAACCTGGAAAAAAAACCGGAAAAACCGCGTCGATGTGAAACGCTCCGATCCACACCGGCCACCAATACCTACCTAAAACAACAATCGATCACCGCTTAATATAGTCGATATCAAAAAAAATTTACTGTCGTCAAAATTGTAGAAAAAATTATATAATTCCCGGCCAATTCTCAATATTGCATTTTTAGTTAAATATATTTATCGCATAAAATTATCCAAGCCAGTATTTTTTTATCATTGAACATTTGAACCACAAGACATTCAGTATTTTAAATAATCCAACATCTTTTATGAGTTAGGAATTATGCCGAAGGTTTTCAAGACATCTGAGAAGTACGAACACCTTTTCCGATCAAACAGTTACAAAACGATTTTCAGTTTTTGAACCATCCTGTGTTGAATATATTTTATTTTTATTATTTTTAAGTTATCACGTGCACATCTAGTATATTAGTAAATATACACGATCTCTGGATCACAGTGTGAGGCAACTAGTCATCTAATAAAATATATTATGATTTTAATTTTATTTTGTTGTTTTTATTTTTGTTTTACACGTTATTTTGCTTGCTGAACTTCTGACCTCTTTTACCCATTCCCCTTTTCCTTTGTAGTGCAATACAATATCAGGAAAACTCAAAAGTATTACATTCCATATTATTATTTTACATTTTTAGTTTAAGCTGTTATTCTCTAGTCATAATTGCTTTCGAAAGATCCAGTGCAGTAGATGGATAAAAATTATATTCCAATCTAACAAAAACATAAAATAATGACAATTTCTTTCACCAGAAGACATAAGACACATACTTGACATTTGACATAATGAATTCTCGTTATTCTACCTGGAGAGATGCCTCTATAATCTTTTCTGGCTTAAGTTCCACGCCCTGTATACGCAGGGTGCGATTCGCAATTATGAAGCACAATTCGGTACTACATCTTGACCTCACAGCATCATGGAAAAAGAAATATTTGCAAGAAAATCCAGCTAAGTTGTCGACTGACAGATTTGTACGATATAAATTTAGGCGTGACCATGCCAACAAAAATGTTATGCCAGATTGTATATCAATGCTCTTGATTCTTGAGAATGACAGTTTTGAAAATGCGCACAACTGAAAAAAAAATAGATTCATACGACATAGCAGTGCCAGTTTGCAGCTGGAGGAAAATCTCATGAAGTTTTTCACAGTTTGGCAACGTTGCCAAATCAAAAAAATACCGCGTGTGTACATAAAAATTCTTCAAGCCCAAGCAGTATTCCTCACATCCCACAATAGTTGAAAAAATTAAAAGCAAAGTTCCGAGCTTAATTTTATGCCTCCCGTCTACATCTAGATCGGGAATTTGTGATTTTGCTGTTCCTACAAAAAAAAAAGAGAAAAGAAAATGTACATTTAACTGCCGAAAAATTTTGGAAAGACTGCCGTTCACTTATGGTTCAGTTATATTTTTAATTTGTCGTTAAATGCTTCAGTTCGTTTTCAAAATTGATGTTTGGGTGATTGTTGAAGATTTTCAGTTTGATTTTGAGTTCCGGGCTCGGAACTTGCAGTCAGGTAATGAAATAACACGAAAATGCAGTTTTTTTAAAAATTAAATATTAATATAGTTATGTATTAGAGTATTTAAAATTGTAGATGACCGTCAGTTCCCAAACCACAAAATGCTCGGTTCTTCAGAAATCAAAATCTGTAATTATAATCGTCAAATTGTCGGTGCGGCCACCACCTAAGACGCCGCCAAATAAAAATCATTTTAGATTATAACTAAATGTTTACGTGAAATGCGGCAGCGACCCCGCATCCCTAACTTCAAAAGCGTTACACAATTCTAAGTTACAAGCAAAAAATTTTTCGTCCTGTTGTGTAGACACGCTTAAAGCACACTAAAGTATATTCCCTATTTTATAAAATACATAGGTAGAGCCATCGTTTGTTGCTGAAAAAAAAATCTATTTGAAATAAGAAATAGAGGATACACTAAATAAAAAACAATAAACAATTTTACACAACAATTAGGTTAAATTCGGAAATGTGTTTTTTCAGTAGCAGCTGTTCATGTCAAATTTCTCCTTCTTGGAAGCAAAAAACCCTTGTCAGTGTGGCATCGCTGCCGCATTGTAGAGATATATCAGATACCTTGTACATACTGTAAATGCTATTACATACCGAACTTATTTAACCGGGTCGAATTGATTAGTGTCATAATTTGTGAAACAGTCGAGTTGATTATACAAAAAATAAAATAGGGTGTTCACTATCTATGCCAACGTACAGACAGATTCTTTGCTCCGAAATGATATTCCAATCTTCGAAATAATCCGACCTCGAGCATTTTAAGTATTTTTTTTTTTTTTGTGGATTTAACAAGAGATAAAAAAGTGGAGTGCATAGTTAAGATAAAGAAGTTTTCCGGAGATAGCGATGTTTGATCCTAAAATGCAATAACCTTAAAAAAGGGAGAGAGAAGCATATCTGAAAAATTACAGCAGATGAAGAAAAACTTGTTGCTAATTATTATAAAATATATTTAAGGTCTAATAAAAACAATGCTACTTTGAAATTTTTTTGGCCAAACTGTTATATTCGGATACAGACAGCCTTTTTAATTCAAGTTTCTATATTAGTGACGTCAAAGCTTATAAAATCCAGGATTTTCTTACATATTTTTTGGTAATATTCAGGGTATGCGTCATCAATGAAATTCAAAATAAATCTTGAAATTTTCCAAAATCTCAGCTTTTTTTGCAAAAACTGGACAGAAGTTTTATAAAAATCACGCTGCCCTTATTCATAACTGGAGACCAAAAATTTATAAAGACAATGCCCACTGAGGCAAAGCCTCTATAGTAAAGTCAAATTGAACAATTATGCGATGAAGCGATACCAGTTCTAAACGCGTTTATGTATTCGAAATAGTCTCATGGTTTTTTTTAAAACTGGAGTTAGAAGTTTCATAAAAATTACGCTGTCCTTAGCCATATCAGGAAATCGAAACGAAAATTTACAAAGACAATGCTCACGGAGGCAGAGCCTCTATAGTAAAGTCAAATTGAACAATAATGCGATGAAGCCTTAGAAGTTGCAAACGCGTTTGTGTATTTGAGATTGTGTAGACTGAGCATAGATAGAGAATACGTATTCTTGAGCCCTAGGGGGTGGTCACACTAAACTATAAATATGTAAATAGCTTTCCTCCAATCAATAGACATACAACTGGTAGATAAATTGCACATATTCGGTGTTTATTTGAAAATACATGGAAAATAGGCGAATCGGGTACAAACCTGAGTACAAAAGTTTGGGAAGTGCGCGGTCGAGTACAAAATGAAAAAATAGGGATGAAGAGAATACCAAAGTGCTTTATTTTTGAATGTTGTTTAGATACCTGCAGATTTTTACTTGGCTATGGACTGATGTTTTCATAAATGAGAAGCTGCTTATGAAACTACAATTTTCATTACGCCTGTTCATACTTTAGTATTATTTTCAGGTCGTTCATTAAAACTACTTTGATGATGTTCTCAAAAAGACACAAAAGTTTCACCACAACTTCGAAAACTTGATGAGCTCTGAAGATTAGGTTTCTTTTCTACAAATTCAAAACCGAGGCATATCTGCTACACGATATCTATAGTGTAAAAAACGTATATTGATTATTTTTGAGAATATCATCAAACTTAAGCTTAAGATCATGCTCCTACAGTAACACGCAACAAATAGAGTGAAACCGGACCACTACTAAATAAGATGATAGGAGCAACCTTTGAGATATCAATTTCAACAGATTTATCGCGAAAAACTAGGATTTCACTCTATTTGAGCGTGCTCACCAATGAACCATATTTATGATCTCAATATCATTTTATTATCTCTTCTGTGACTTATGCAATATTACCTTTGAAAGGAAGCGAATATCTACATACCACCTATTTGATATGACTTACAGAGACGTGACTTATCACTATATATATCAGCATTGCATTTGTCTTAAGCGGGGATATCATTTACTGAACAAATAACGGTCCTAACTCTATAACGATCTATTTTAGTTTAGTACAAAAATTGCTACGAAAATCGGCCTGTTTTGGTCAATTTCTTATTTTTATTTCCCGAGCGCGTTCGGTTCTAAAATTTCGATACCAAAGTGAGTGCTTCTTATTTATAAATACTTCGGTCTGTGAAACTTGACAGTTATGACCTCAAAAAGTTACTGTTGGTTTTAACAATTCAATCCAACTTTAACTAAACAGATATACCGACAATTGACTTTTCTAAGCGAGTTTTTGGAGGTTCCCTTTCGATCGAGTTGAAACTTGATCAGTCAACTGAGACTAACTGAATTACAGTAAAACATGGACGATGACTCTTGTGGCTGATCTGGTCAACTCGGTGCTAAGTAAGCAAATTATCAGTACCAGCAAAAAGTCTCCTATTACTTGAAAAGATAAATCAAGCTACTTGCCAGCGAAATACACATTCTTCAGTTTCTTTCTAATGTTGGTATAAATAAAGAATGAAATATGTGCAGCGTCAGAGCGGCATGTTCTGGATTCTTTTTGAATTCTAACATTTATGCCAACATTCTCAAGTACATAATTTTCCATAACAATGCAATAGACAATAAGGATTTTATATTTTTTGCAGCCCATAACAAATACGAATGATATTCATGCATTTTTGTTGGAAGTAGTTCGTAATAACGGAAGAAATCAAAGATTACTCCACCAGCAAGAAAATATCAAAAGCATTTCTTGAAACAGCTATAGGAGACTTATTGCATAGTGTAAGCTTGTCAATAAACAGAGCTAGAAAAAAAACCATCTTTATTGGTCGCAACTAAAGTGTAAGCATGTTACTATTTATACGATTTGCCTACAAAATTGGCCACAATTTGATACAAGAGGGAACTCCGCGAAAAACTTGCATCAATTCGTACTATGTCGTGCAGAAGACGACTATAGTTCCGAATTGTTAAAGACAAATATAACAGATAAATTCAGAAAAGGCCTGAGCAAGGTCACGGAGGAATTACATTGCTTTCTGGGTTAGACTGTCTAAGTAATTTTTGAGGTCGATCCGATGCACTCGTGTTTCAGCGGGTGTTCCGTAGTGTAGTTTGCCCTTTATTAGGTAGGATCCCAGCATTAATCTATGGTCACACCGAGCGACTTGTCGCGTTGGACAACCAACCGGACGAACCACTTTTTGTATCCAATGTACACTATGCTTTATACATAGATATAATGTTACAAAGCTTTATTTTTACAGGCCATAGTACAATATACCAAGTAATATTTACTATAATTTTAAAATATAAATGTTAATACAAGACACATATACATAACAGAAAGTCTGGTTGGTGTTGCCCAGCGTGGGTTGTCCCTTAGGTCGGCCCGATAACCTCTCGCGTTTTTCGTTTCGTTTATTGCAGGACCAAAGTACTACAAAAACCTCATTTCACCTTTCGAAAAATTTTGCGTTGGTATCCACATCCCCGTGCTAGTGAGACTAGAATCAAATA